GATAACAAGAATATACGGCCTCTGACAGCTACCGTCTGCTGTTTTGCGATTTTCATTGAAGAGTTATCGGTGTGGTGTTCTCGGTAGGATGATTTTGCTGAAAGCAGAAGATAAAGCAGTTGTCCTTAATAGAACAACGTCTTTATCACGAAATAATTGAACTGTTTTTCAGGTTTTTGCGAGGGCACATCTAATTTAGAGGTTTACATTTCCGAACAAAAGACATAAATATCTGGCGGAAAGGATTTCCTGACGAAACTCTACCTTGGTCACGCTTCTTTGACCTGAACCGCTTTCAGACAGAGCACGAATCGCTGGCCCTGCGTCCCCAATGAATAGGAAAAGCAATTTTCGATATCTCCGAAATTCATGAGGTGCTGATCACCCACCTTGTATTACATTGATTGGAATAGGTGCACAGTAAATAGTGTCAGTTACACAGGGTTTGCTGAGTTTGAGAGAAGTCTCTAACGCCGCTCCTTCACGGTCAACAACATACCAATGATGAGAGTAAACAAAATCGGGTAAAATCGTTTCTCTTTTTCGATTATGTGCTCTTTACAACGCAACAAATTCACCGTAAACATCTAGAAGTTATGGACGGTCTTCATCTGTACGTTGCTTCATATCAGCTTGTCGCGTCGAAAGTACCGATTACTGACCTTTATCCTAAGTAGATTCTGCAAAATCTTCGTGCAGTTAGTAAGTGGCGCCTGATTACCTAATCATCCCCTAGAAATATTTTTGTGTTAAATTTACATAGCATAGAGTTGACAGTCTTAATATCAACGTTACCTCTGAATACGATTCAGTGTGGCTCAGTATGGTTAGGAGTTTGCTGATAGAGTCTTTTATATACAGTTCTGAAAGGCCTTTGGCTTCGGCTAGCACGCCAGCGGTATTTGCCTCTCGCTAGATTGCTAGTGGCACGTGCTACGAAATCGATTATACTCACTTGTATCCATAAGATGAGCAGCACGTCAGGTTAGGTTTGAAAGCTATGCCACAGAGATAGGTTTATATAGAAGAGTTCACTACACTCCTAGAGATATGCCACACATACATAAATCAGCGTAATAGATGCCTCTTTTATTTATAATTATTAGATTCGGTCGACCAACGTCATGTTTTCCTAAAAAATCTTCCGACGTACGTAATACAATTGGATCGCCCGATTACCTGAACCTGGCACTAGACTGTTATGACCGGTTAGAAATAAGCAAAAGTAGGCACTCCAGAGTAAAGTATATGCCAACGTAAATAATTTACCTCGTATTGTCCAGTTTTGATTGTGTACACCTTCAAAAAATTACCGTTTTTTCGCACTCTTTTCTAACAGGTAAGATAGAAAGTGTTATAACAAGCTTTACTCAAGCTGGTGTGGTAGGAATGCTGTGTTCATAGATTATGGTAGCTCCGCTTTTGTCGCGATCACATAGCGGTCGGTAGTCCTTGAGTAGAGCATTGTTCAGCGTTGGTTTGGCAAGAGTGCTCGGTCAACGGCGATGCCTGAGTACACGACTGTAGCCAGCACAACAATCCTCCCGCGGTTGCTGCTGGTAGAAGTCATCGAGGCGAAGAAAGAAAAGTGCGTTGTTTGCCGAACGGGATTTTGCGCTTACGATGAACTGCACAAAGAAGCCAGGAAACTGCTCTTGTACATACAGTAGCTCGAATCCTCCGTTTGGCAATAGTGGAATCGAGTCAACACTGGACACGTCGATCAGGACACAATCCTGTTACCCTCGACAAAACAGGAGAGTTGGGTCAATTTGGTATGGTTAGTAAGGTATAGTCACGTATGACCATAGCTGACTATCAGTGCCAGCTTATCAGCAGTCTCTGTCCCGCTGCTGGCCTACGCATGTCTAGAGTTTATTCATTAGTGTACCTAATTTTTGGTTAATTACTGCGATCGTTAGTTTATCGTTTGCACGGACCTATTTATATGTCCGTTGTTATCTACAATTCAACTTTTAAACTTACTCGATCTATTCGCCTAGTCAAAACGTCTCTATAAAACACCTGTTCTAAAAGGTGAGACTGCTTCATGTCTGTAAGCCTTCTTATTAGAAATTCATGCAACACTAGCCTGCGTGCACTGTTGTGGTCCACATAGTGAACCCGCGTGCTTTGTCTCCAGATCCAAGGGTCATAAGAAATAACTCTTATGTGCTTTCAGCGAGATTATTAATGCGAAAGGAAAATACAAATTCAGTAACAACTGATAATTAGATTCACTGCAACTCACGGGCTCCTTTTCATTTTGTTGTTGATGTTTAAAGGTAACTAACTAACAAAACAAATAGAGCCTATTAACTCAAACATTTCGATTTGGCACATTATTTGTATGTTATTTTTAATTTTAAATTACAGACAGTGACAGATTTTACGACATTCCTAGTGAAAACCTAGCTATATACGTTCATAGGTGCTCTCTATTGGCAAAAATCGTATTCGTAAGGTAAGGGTATAAGGTAAAATTCTAAGCATTAATTGTGTTTGGAGAGTTTAATTAATTTAAAAAATTATTAAGTTAAGCAACTGTGACACCTCCGGGACAAATTTCCCTTAACCACCCCAGCCATAAAAAAATTAAAGGGAAAACTGAATGTTAACAGGCATCTTCCATAAATTTATCAACACTACATTAACATTTGGTCGGAAGCACACCATGTATGCATACACACGCATATTTCGTGCTGATAACAAGAATTTGCCATGCACTATAAAACTTTGTCGACTTTTAAAAGCTAAGAAAATGGCACTAGAAGTCAGGTACATCTCGGAGGACAGAGTACGATCTACGATGAATGAAAGCCTTCCTATTATTATGTTGTGCATTTTTACTTTTTCTGTAAAGAACACAATCTGCTACTGTGAATCTAGGCATTTTAAAAATATAATTTATATATTTTTAGATCCTTTGCAATTTTATATATATAAAGCTTAGAAATTAACAATTGTAGTAAAATACTATTGGAAAAAATAGATTAAGAAAGCTAGACATGTCAAGTCGTGTCAAAATGATCGTTACCTATGTCCTCACCAACTTAAAGTTCTTTGGCAAGATGCTCGTTTTTTAGCGCTTTGGATGTTGTTCCCATAGATTTTAATGGTAAAGTTTAATGTAACATTTGGTTAACGTTTCGAGACATAAAAGCCAAGTCTTTACCGAATGAATTTATTCTAAACGAATATTCGAAACCTGATATTTATGAGTGAGTAGATAGTGAACAGCTGCTTCCAGTTTATTACCTAAAAGTTAACCTTATACAAAACGAGGGTCCGTTCTTCTTCCGAAGCTTGTAGATAAACAATTGCAAGTCAATTTGCGATCTAAAACAGCAAGATATCCTACTTTCAAGAAATCAGAAGGCCAGAAAATGCGCCAAAGCACAGTTGCTTGCTTGCCCCGAAATTGCAGCAAAGTGCTTTAGACGGCACATCAGGCTGTAGGCAACTTGCCCAATTGAGAACTTCGTCTAACGAATACCATATTGCTTAATCAATGTAACTAGTTGTCGGTATACTCTCTGTATCTATGTGACTTGGAGCATAAGGTGACAACACTTACAACGAGACGGACAAGACTCATAAATCGGTTTGGTACTTCGCTTAATTTAAGATCCTGTCTAATTTATACTTAACCATACATGCCTGCAATTGCTTCTTCAGGGTAGACTCTAGGACAGTCCGTCCATGGAAGCAATCACTTCAATTGATACCCTGTAGATGTCGGCCCTATGGCCATTCTATTTCATCTTCTAGATCAGCTGTTTTGCTGTCTTCTAGTGTACCACCACAACGGGAAAGAGTATTGTTCCATTGATGATAGCGCTTCGATTCTATTTCAGATCTCTACACACAACTAGAGCTCTAGACGAGATAAGTCAGATGCATGGTGAAGTGCAGAGAACGACTGCGACATGTTCATTTCTTTAATGGGGAATCAACGTAAAAAACAGAGATGCCTCTTAACAGCAATAACGGAGTTTTACTCGAACGACGTTCCACATCGACCGTCGGTCTTTGAATTCTGGTACAATATGATCTGAATCTGCAGATCAGACACGTCGTCCCTGTATAATCGTGTATCTGGTGGACACGCATGTGTCCACCAGATACACCATTATACAGCTAGTGTGCCTATAAATGTTGTCCGGCCTGCCTAATGTGCATTTATGGAACCTTTCTTAAGTTATTGGACTGGCCACGTGGCCATTGATGTACACGAAGCTTACCAAAAGAAATCAGGTAATTTAAAAAGATGCTTTGAAGTCTTAAGGTGTATATGCCCAACCGGAAAGTTGTCTGCCGGTAAAGTTAGTTTACCACGACTTCGATATAAACATCATGAGGAACGTACGAGCAGGTAACAGTAAGGATGTATTAGTTGTTTTGCCCGAGCTTACATTATACAGAGTGCGGCCGTAAGTGGAGACCTTTTCTTGTGCTATGCTGCTTACGACTGTACTTTTTTATTTAAAAAAGCAGCAATTTTAACGTAATGTCCTACATGCGCTTGAAGCATCATTCGTGACGGACATGATTATTCAATATAACCGTTATACAAACCACTGCGACTCTAAATTTAATTCGTAACCTAAACGATCTACTAGGCAGTTTTAAAATACGCCTCCCTTGACCTGTAAATACCTTTTCAATAGGAACTGTGCATTAAGCGATACTGGTAGATATGAGCCCGTAAAAGTGTCGCTCAAACACACTATGTGCAAAAAGTCCTAGCGAAGTTACATTTTAGGCTGAAAGCGACAACAACAAACAAAACAGCGACAAAACCCAATAGGCTGTTAATCGCTACCTTAGAAATCCACGTATATCTAAAATGACTTTTTAATCCATCTTAACGAACTTCTTAGCCCTTCAAATCTAAAACCTATTGAGGTTTCTTAACTTGCCTTACGGAAATCTCCCTCGCAATTTGTAAGAGCCGTACAAAAATTGGCAACAATGAAGATCATCTATTTCGGGCAAAGAAAAAATTGTGATCTTGGTGGGAAGTTCCTTGAGTGCGAAGAGACTGCGTAACAACGGATTTTTGCTGAAAAACTTGTAAAGACGCATAGTTTTGTGTGGCACGATTACACGTTTCTTAAAATAGAAGAAGAGCAATTCGTTCATCCGGTTACAAGGATTGCGGACGAACGCATACCCGTCACGGCAAACAATTTACCCTAAATAAGTACTGCACATGGTGTAGTATCCAATGTTCGTTAGCTCAGGACTACGTTTTCTGGCACTAGTTTGAAGTAAGCTTCTTTTATCGAGTAAGCAGCCTAAGCAATCAAATCGTTTGGAAGAAAACATAAAGCAATTCCTACTGACTGATGAAAACAAGTAGTTTTAGATCAACGTTATTAAATGATAGATAAAAAGACATCAAGGCGATTCTGCAATTTTTGCAGAAAAAAACAGAAGCTTGGTGGCTTTGTTGATAAACAAATCTAGCACCAACTGACGTTCGAACCTTTCCAGATTTTGTACGTGTGCAGACCAAGGTAAAAGTGTCGCGGTAGTTGGAGTGTCTTAGTTTCTCATCTGTTAAAGTAGCAGTGGATACACAAATGAAGCGTTGATTTAGCTGTGTAACACATTTGTGACTATTGCTTGCCTTAGAATTCCTATTATTATACTACACGATTACGTTAATGTTTGTATAAAAACGTTCGCAATAGCTATCGGATCCGTCAAATAGCTATATTTTGTTTCGTCCCTTCCAACGTCGCAAACCAAAAACAAGGGCGTTTTTGGTTTGCGACGATAGAACGTTACTGTTTAAAAATAGCACCAGTTTTTTTTTGTAAAAACTTATTATCGAAATGGAGAATCTATTACGGTGACACTTCACAAGTATCACACCGAAAATGAACGATACCTTTCGTTGCCAAAAATGGCTAGCTGATCAAGAAAAATTCTAATAGATTGGCTGATTTGCAGAAAAAGTGGGGTCACGGAGATTACGAGCCGTGGATGAACGAGTTATAAAACTGCTGCAGTACAAAGCAAGGTTTGCTAGGCCTACTGATGGGTATTCTGCGGCGCATTGCAAAGTCCGTGCAACGATGAGAAAGGCAGTCAGTATCAAACAGCATCGAAAATAACGAATCCACGACCTGAAATATCATATTCAAGTAATTCGCGAAATTGAACCCTCTCTCTTTACAAGAAAAAGACATTTGAAGTCTAGTATCAGGAAATTGTAGATACTGTTTACACTATTGTTTTAAAGATTGCCCTTTCTAGCTGGCTGATAGTGCCGCTTGACACCATCACAGCTTTACCTTGTGCTACTATTAATGAAGCCGCAGGTATGACGACTGATTCGACTCATACACAAATCATTCTCGATATAATCCCACTGCATCATTCCTATCCTTTTTATTTACCAAATAATTAGAGGCGTTAACTTTCACTATTTTCTAAGTACTATTTGAGTCGTTCTGCATAGCATTAGTGCATTCCTGTAGTAATCTATTGAGTTCTACACTGATGATTCTTTCTATGTTCCCTGAGCTATCGACCTCAGAAAGGGAAAACTTTTTCCAAACGAATACTCGTGTTGATTTTCGTTACTTGTGAATTTCTGCCACCTTACGCTATTGTTTAAAAAGTTCTAGGCCATACGATATGTACACAACGAATCATTTTTAACATTATTCGAAAGACGAAATAGTCTTTATGACGTAAGATACGGAATGTAATAATAATGTTTTCCTCAGCGTCCGTATGCGCGTACCGTCACTGCTTCATTGCCGCCATCACAATATGTCTAGCTATCATTATTCCTATGATTATTATTAGAGGTCAAGTATATTGTGAAGGCATTTTGACGTGACACCGATTTATACAAGAACATACTACTATCATAAAGCGAATGGTCTGATAAAATGTCTATTGTGGAGAAAAAATGCGCATTATGCCAATGATTTTAGCCACAAGGCACTAGTATTAGGCAGCGTACGGCTGTCATCTACTTTGTTACTCACCATTTATAGACAATGAGAAAATGGAAAATTTTCCAGAATAATAAAAAACCAAAGAAGATAATTTCATAGCTCGGAAAAGGTGGCAATAGATAACAATCGACAATCTTGACAACAGATATTATTTAAGTGCCACATTCAGTTTTCCATCGAGACGACGAAGCGTTGGTTATTCATTGTTTTGTATACTATCGGCAAATAATAAAATTACTCATTCAGCATTATGGTAAATGACTGAAGTTAGACCATCTAATAGCGCCATGCCCACTGTATCAAAATTTATTCGTCTTTGTGTTTGGAACTATTATCTGTAATATGTATATATAGGATGGTCGTCACTCGGAGCCAAATCGTTACGATACTATAACCCAAACTTATGCCAACAACTCTTGCAGCGGAGTAGAGTGATTTACGCGACGTATGCTAGGCTCCTTCATCTTCCGCGAGCGTACGGACGAGGAATTTACGTTGGTTTTTTTTAACGGGCCTTAGATTCATCCAGCCAAACTCGACAGCTGAAATTCTAACCTATTTACTGGCTGTTTAGAGGAACAGCTTGGATTCAATTCAAGACAAGTGCACAACGTTCTACAGAGAACTAAGCCTCTCTTTCCGACAATGAAGCTTCACGCACCTTCACACCAAAATTTAAATTTTAACGTCTTTATCAACATCGTCCGGAAATCAAATCTATTTTCGAGAAACGAGCTGCTGTCTCTTGAATTGAACTCTTCTGCTTAATCATATAAATACTTGCTAGAATTTCGCCGCAAATTTTGAGTTAGCTGTTAGGATGGCTATCTGATAGTTACTTTTCCGATTGTCGTCGAACGTTCACGCCCAGTTAAAATTGTCTCATACATACGAATCTCGAACGGATTAAGCAGGTCATCGTTTGTAACTCCTCTACCTGGCATCGATCTCAGGGTCGAGGTCAAGAACTTTTTCAAAATTTTCATATTAAAACGAATTAACGGAACAAGGTAGCAAACACTAAATCAGGCAGAAAGCCAACACTCTGAACTGTTATTTGGCCCCCGAGAATATTCTATATTTATTATGGTTGTTCTATCAATAGAACTTGCGCCAACGGCATTTCGAGCAGTTGCGAAGGCTGAATTCCGTTATCAAAGGTAATAATTAATATGGTATATAGCGTTATGCCATAAAAGTAAAATATGTGCATCATACTCTCTGAGAAATCATCGTTAACGAATTAACGATAACCATACGCAAAAGTAGACAATGTCATCTTTTTTTTTTTTTCGCAGAATCACAGTTTTTGGTGACTTGAATAATAATTTTCAATACAATTGCGCTACGAACATTTGCGAGTATGAATTAAAGCCGGCTCATTATGGGGCCTGTCGTCAAAATGGTGAAAGGCAACCGCAATCATGCTGCATTTGTAATACGTCTTTTGGCACCGTTGCTGTCCTCTGTTAAAACAACACCCTAGTCGCTTACCCCGTTGACAAAGGAAGTACAGTCGCACTAATGACATACATCTTAAAAATTTAGTCCTTCATTCCGTAACAACCCGACTTGGAACTGATCCATTAGATTTATAGCTTTACCCGTTCATGCGGACCGCTTTAGACGCTCTGCGGAATCTTCTTGCGGGGAGGCTCACTAAGCGCCTAAGCTTGGCCGTGTTACAAAGGCTTTTCTTAAAGAGGTAAATTTGTAAATCTCGTTTACTGACAGCAGGGGTTACATTTAGATATTCCTTACTGTAGTGTAGAAGATTTCAGAACTTTTTCTAACTGGAGTAGTATCTCTATTAAATTCACATGTCCCTCTCATCCTGGTTTTGGTCGCTCTTGCTCGTCTTTGAGTGTGTTTACAACCTTCGTCAAGTACTCAGATAGTGCAGTCGAATTCCGTCATGAAGTATCTAGTTCGCCATAATGTCGGGCTTAAACGGGCGTCTTATTTTCTTCAAGTTCTGCGTTTCAAAGGTTAGAGACGAATTTTTTATCCTCAAGCGCTTCAGCTCGTTAGATTCCAGAAACATGCAGTGCATTCTGGACATCTCGCTAGCGACCGCAGTTCTATTCTGCGGTTGCTTCAATACTGAAGGAAAAAATGTCTTTTAGAAATTGGTTAAATCGATATGACTACTTTGTCTTCGAACTGTACTGTACTTACCGCGCATCCCAAGTCCTAACCCCACGCAAACGCAGTAAAAACTGCCGCTATTACAAGAACATGTGAGTGTGGATTTGCAGAGACGTTCCTGCAGGATAAACCCCAGCATATTATGAGCCATTTCAAATGATGCTTTATGCTGAGGACACTATAGATGATAAGGAAGGTCCGTGAAAGTGGCTGATGTGTCAGCACCAGAAACTGATAGCTATCCATTTGGCATGGGTACCCTATTATCTAGTTCGCTGTATTTCTCAGCGTTAGCGTCTCCCAACAGCTTCTACTATTGCTTCAGACAATATTTCTGAAAACCATCTTTCATGCTAAGACCCACTTTAACGCTCACTATGTCAGTATATTAATGAGATTCATGGGGGCGACGACCCATAAACTCGTAACCCCGGAGATTCCTATCTATACAACATACCCAGATCATATGAGTATGTAGTTATTATCGTGCGAGTTAATTATAGCAGAAAAATTTAGCATACTTCGTACGGCATCAAGGATCACCTTGCTTCCGGATTAGAATTTTTGAATCTTTGAAAGACAAACACTTGAGAGCTTTCAAAACAGACATCTTTTTGCAAAAATCGTTATATATTAAAAAATATTTGATATTCATCAAGTTAGAATGTCGAACATACTTATTTATATGAAATTATTAAGATTCAGATTAATCGTACGCAGAGTTCAAACATCTTCATCAACGATAAAAAAGTATGTCATCTAAGGCTTCTAAAGAGCCTAGGGTAAAATCTGCTTCAAAGTGAGGGAGTCCTGGTAACCTTGTCTGCGTTCGGCATAGATTTTTACCTGGAAAAAAACAGCAAATACTATCATAAGATATAAAAAAATGTGTGCGAAAAAAGCTTGTGTGAATGCCAACGCTGTCTTCCAAATATTGGCTTCTCCTTTACCTCTCCACGTTTTGTTTACTTCACTCTCGAGTTTAAGCTCCAAAAATGAACGTGCCAAGTGAAGTACTTCCTTCTTAATAGACCTGAAGTGCTAAAGTCACCGATCGTCTCTTGTTTTGTTGTTTGCCTCAAAAAGTATCTGAATGACTTCTATGACATGAGGCGTGTAACCGACGTCTTCGTATGACATCGTAACCCCACGCACATTGAATTACCTCTCAAATGACAAGATTGAGACAAGCATTGCGTGCACTTTTGGATGGCATTTACTAAGTTTAAAGTTCGCATTGTTTTTTTTCGTCTATTGTAAATCTCCCGTTGAGCTTCGTTGGAACCTGTTTCGGCCACTCGTGCAACTGCATATTCGTTCTCAGTGCGCTCGATTGTCAATTTGGGATGACGCAAAAAGCTTATTTGTTGTCTCGTTAATGGTTCGTTCCGCGCAAAGAAATTGGATAATTGGTGAAGACGATAAAGGTGGTTAATAAGGCAGTATTAAGTTGATCTGCTTTTCATACCGTTACCATTATTTTAAGTTCAGATATCATAATAGCGCAGCAAACGTATCATAGGTTTTAAAGTTATTACAAATGAAATTGTCTATAATAGCCATGTTTGAGGCAGATGCAGGCGGTTTAAGTAAATTCTCTTCTTAAATAATTGTATACAACTGTATGCTATACGATGCTTGTTTAATGTGCCACACACCTATTTACCTATAATATTTAAACTCCCTCGAGTTGAAACATTAATTTCTTTTTGCTCAAACTTCGATATCGAAGCCACGTTTTTCGTCATGCCTACAATTTTGTTTACATTCCCTTTAGAACGAGTTTTTCTGTAGTAGTACTGATTTCGAATAAGCGTATGCGTCAGCCCGCGAGTGCTCAGTCGAAAAAAGCCCGAATTTAATCTGGTTAAGTGAATGAGCAAGAGATTATAAGTTCAAAATAGTATTTTGTTTAAGATTGTCTCGAACTAATAATCAGGAGCAGCTGTTGTAGAGATCTTTAGAATATCGGTAGTGTTCTAACTGTCTTACCCACCCATCATGATCAAGTAAAAAACTTTTTGTGGAAAATGTCAACATAGAATATGCGGAAACACAGAAAAGCATTTATATCTAATAGTTACCTATATGAATTCTAACAGATCAATAGATGAAACATCAATGTATTATTCTAGTAAGAAAAACTCCATTACTCTCGACCTATGGTTCAACGGAATTATGTAAGTGTTTAATCGGCCACAAAACATGGCACCCCGAAAGCTCCAGCAAGAAGAGGCACATATATGTAACGCGTCTAGCACCTCCATTCGAAGCCTTCATAGCGTAGTACTGAGAAGTGGATAGTTCATTGTGTTGTGGTCCGAAGATACTGATCTTGTTGGGGTTAAGCGACCTCTAGAGTTTTCTATATAGAGTGTGAGGTTTGTACTTGTAATTAAGTGTGGTTCAAAATAGCGCCTGAATTATATTTCATATCTAGTGATATATATTGGAAAACAAAATGCCTTAATTTGTCTACTATGTAATATCCTAGTAACCGCTGTCTTTTTAATCTATTTTCTGCGTATCAATTGCTACCAATGCGCCTGAGATCTTCCTGCCTTTGCTTCAACTGTGAGCATAGTTTTGCCGCCTTGTTTGCCCCGTACGTTCCTTTCAAAATCTATAGTACCTTCATATATGTATCTGTGACTTTTGTAAGTATAGGCGCCCACTTCGAGTCATCGTTACAATAACTAAATGCTGAAGTTAAAGGCAAAAATCGGTTATGCAAATTAGCCTAGGATGCGAAATACTATATCGATATTCTCTAATGGCTACGTAATGCTTTGATGGTCCGATGCTTGTTAAACATCTTCTTCTTCTTCAGTCAATCTTGTCGTCGCCGTTGGAATTCAAGCCTAATCAAAATCAATGTGGTGGACATTTCGACGACCCGCCATATTGGTCCCTACTGTGTCGCTATCATCATCATTATGCTGCCCGCCCGGAGCACCAGTGCAGCACATCAGATACTGTTAGCATCGTTCCGCTCACTTGTACATCTCATCCTGTGCAGGACTCCATGTACCCTGAATCTCTTTGTCGCGCCGTTCCGTATTGTACAAGCGGATAGACCCGCTGTTCGGTTGCCGACGTTTCGAAAGACTGGCCTCTCCCCACCAATCTTGTGCTAATCCTTGCCTGCGGGCGCTTGCTATCTGTCCTGCAGACAAGCAGAGAGAGAGGCGTTTGCATTTGCCTTGCTCAAAATTTCATCGACGCGGCCCGTTACTTGACGAACCTACATGAGCACATTTCAATAGAGCGAAATAGCGATAGAACAGAAGCGGTGTGCTTTTCAAGAATTCAAGCGAACCTCTAGCCGCCACACCCGGGAAGGCTAGTAACTTTCCAAGTGAACAATCTTGAATTGAGCTAGAAGGAATAAGAGGCGTGAATTGTAAGGACGCGCCGCGCTACGTCCGGCCTCAACCATAACCTTCGATCAATAGGGAGATTAACCATACTGAGTGGCAAAAGGCGCGATTATTCATCAAGCGGAAAAGTGGGAGACTTTTTTTTTTGAACGTCGTTGAAACATATTCTGATAACTGGTAATGCGTTCGGCTG